CAGCAAAACAGTTGCTGGCCACTCCCCAAAAGCTCTCCAGGGAATCGACCCTAAAATCACCCGCACTAAATCTCCTTCTTGACTCTACTTCTATCTCTGTTACAGCCTCTCTCTCAAACTATAGATTGCAAGCGGATCAAGGACCCCTCTATTCTAGAATCATAGCTCATGAAGCTGGAAGGGATCTCGAAGGTCATCTGACCTAACCTCCTGTTCAGTACAGGATCTGCTAGGTCATCTCTGACAGAAAACCATCCAGCTTCTGTTTGAAGATCTGCAGCAATGGAGAACCCAACACTTAATGGGGCAGCCTGTTCCAGTAGCTGATGGCTTGTACAATCAGAAAATTCCTCCTGATCTTATCTCCCAATGATTTTGCAGGCACATCCGTGGTGTTTTATGCGCAAACATTCTTCTGGGCTGTTTTTCATCTTCCCAGCCTAGCTCGAAGCATGATGTCCTGGTGGTACCGACTGAGTTTGACCCTGCTTAGCTCTCTCCAAGATCAGCCCAGAGGCTTGCACTTCAATTGTGCTTTTTAAACCCATTAAAAAATAATAAAAAAGTAATTATAACATCACAGGAGCTGCAACGCCTTCTGTCATCACGAAATCAATCTTTAGTTGATCCCTTTAAAAACCTGTTTTTATAGAGTCCATGAATTAGTCACATAGGAGGTTTTTAAAACTGTGAATGGCTTCTTGAGTAAACACTCAACAAATCCTCAGTTTGCACGTCCCGGAGCTAAATCTCTTTGGAGATGCTGCTTGCAGTAAGAAATCACGTATCATCTGGAAACAAAAAATGTGCACGTTGCCTGGAAAATTACATTGTTTACATGTAAACTCCTGCAGATGTATTGGTTAGAATACATGGAATTTATCATCAAAGTTTTTGTTAAATGACAGCTCTGATAATAATGGTAGAGCTTTATTCTCTGTCGGGCGAAAAAAAAGGGAGCCCCGGTTCCTTTTAATACCACACCAGATTGTATGCAACAAAGATAGAAAGTGTTTTTCTCAACCGAGGGCGCTGACAGCATCAAAGGGGGAAGGACGGAAGAGCTTTCTTGGCCTTAGCACACCAATGTTAAAGAGTTTTATTTTTTAAAAAAATGCATCTTTCCATCAGCATTCATTGGCCTGGCCTGAAAGGCTGGAGAACGGGAAATGTAAGTAGCTGGTAGACTTTGAATTCCCCCCCCCCACCCCAGCACTATGGAACCCCGGCTGCAATTATTATCATTATCATTATCGTTATTATTTATGGCATTATAGTCTCTCCTCTGAGCTTATCTAAAACAAAAGCGCTTCCACGTTTTCTTTCGAAGAAAGGCGAATCTGGCCTCCTCCATGCACCCTCTGCAGGATCGAGTCCAAAGGAGCAGAATTTGCTCCATTTGGCAATATTTTTTCTGTTTGTCGTGTCGAGGGAGGGCTCAGAAACACCGGGGGCCACCTTGTCTTCTTCCTGGTCAATGGTGGTGGGTGGGTGGGTGGAGGGGTGCCTGCTTGAACTGCCTTGCCCCATCCTGGTGTGTCTTCTCTGACCTCATCAGAAGAATGCGCCCATCTGGGAAACACCCCCCCCAGCAGGGAGGAGTTTCATGGAGAGACAGCTGGCAGGAACAGCATCTGCAATGGTTAGGGAGCAACGCCCATCCAGTTGCTGCTAGCAGAGCCAAAAAACACCCAGGACTTGTCCCGATTGCCGCATGCAGCCCATAAAAAATGCTACCCACTGGTCCCGGCTGCTGCTATCAGGGCACCTATGTGTGATGCATGGCTGCACGCACATGACCCTGCATGTCGCTATGAGTCAGCCAGCAAGGCGCATAGATATTATTTCTTGGCTCACGGGGAACCAAAGGTCCAGACGTCATTCACGGCAAGGTCAAATGAACGACCTCCAGGTGTTTCATGAGACAATACGAACAGCATCCAACCAGCGCATTATGTGCTAACCGAGCTGTGACGCCTGAGCAGGTTCAGAGTTTATGGACTGCCAGTTGCCTGGAGGGAGGGGGCAACGAAACCCCCCGGGAACAGGTGAGGCTGACTCGGACCCCTTCCCCCTGCAACCTTTTGTGCCAGTTCCACCATTGCAGCTCTTCCCACGCTGAACATCAGATATTGGTTATTGGCAGCCCAAGAGGGGCACGGGAAAATAAGGGCAGCTGTGCTGCAGAAGCATCTTTTCAAGCAGATATGCACACAGGCACACACGTGCTCAGTCCCTCTCGACAACAACCTCGGCCCAGCAGTTTCCAAGACTTCATTTCTGCGCTTCCGTTCAGCGGGAAGTCGTTCTGTTCTCTCCTGCTGACTCTCCGCCTGTTTACGCCGGGACTCCACCCTGCCTTGGACTTACAGCCAGGAGTCCTTTCCCATGAATTTGTACGCACGTAGGAAAGCTACTTCGGTTCACTCAGGAAGCAAAGGGCACTCTTCCCATGCCCGGTGGCGGTGCCCTGACAGCGGACTCCCAGAAACTCAGGCACGGTTCTTTGTAAGCCCTGGCGCATGTCAGCTGCACGTGCGCGTGGCCCTGTTTGTGGCTGAGCGAGTGGTGGGAACCGCGCTGAGATTGCAGCATGTTCTGTGACCAGGGCGTGCCTTGAAGCCCAAAGATGGCTGGTGAGGGCATTGCTTGTGATAGGAAACAGAGCCATGGTGTTTTCTTAACGAGGGTCAAGGGCCACAGTGTGAGGTGATCCCAACCCTTCGTGGGATCCCTCCAGGGTTGTAAAGGCCCATCGCAAGGAGGACAAAGGGGCTATCCCCTTACTTAGGAGCTTCAGCCTCACATTTGCTGGCCTCAGAAGTTGTGAGGACCTGATCTGGAAGGACAAGACCTCTAAGGGACCCCATTTGCACCCCCTACCCTGACTTTCTCACCCCTCTGTTTTCACTGGAGGGTTCCCTTGGTGAAGGGGCTCTCTCCGGGACTTTTCCATATCCGCCCTCCTCGCTCTTGCTCTTGCTCTCGCCCTCCCTCCTCCTTTCTGTTTTCCTTCGGTCCCGTCCCAGAGACACCCCGACGGGATGCACCCCCTGCCCCACTTCCCGGCTGCGCTGCTCAGCCACAGGCAATCCCTTCCCTTCGCAAGGAGGGCTTGGCACAGCCTGAAGAATCTCCCATTTCCTTTCCAGCTGGGGAGGAGAGACAGAGAGAGGAGGGAACTGGGGCGGGGGGGGGAGGCCGGCCGGCAGAGCTCGCTAGAGGCCCTCGCAGGAGCCAGCTGGCGGGTCAGAGCGCGCAGTCGTCCCGAGAGGAGCAAGGGGAGAAACCCCAGAGGCAATCAGAGGTAAGGGGGAATCTGCCCCAAAGGCTGCCCATGTCCAAAGACTCCAACGGTGTGGGGGCCCGAGGTCCCTTTTCCTCCCCATCCGGCCACCTGGGGTGCTGGGTTCAGCCCTTCTCAGCTTGGGGCCTTCCGGATGTGTGGACTGCAGATCCCATCATTCCCAGCCAGCCTGATCAGGACGATGGGAGCCGAGCTCAGCACAAAGCTGGGGAGGGATTGGTCTGGATTCTGCGGAGGCTGTTCTGGGGATAAGAGGCTTCTCTAGCCGGGCTGGGTGGGGGACACAGTCTTGTGCCCCCCCCCCCCGCAAAGAAGGAGAAACTTTGCTGACTGAGCATCGCAGGTCGGGACTGGGAGCTCTGTCTGGCCAAAATGCATCGAGGAGGGGAGTCTGACAGGGAAAGCAAACGCTTGTCTGAGCAAAGGGGCTGCTGATGTTTCTTTTGCTCTCAAGTATGAATGGGTTGCAGCCCCCCCAAGACCCCCCCAGAAAAAAAGAAGAGATTCAGATCTTACCCATTTCTGGCATTTCTTTAATTGGTTCCTTAATCGGCAGTGCTCAAGGCCACGTGGTTGGTTTCCCCCCAAGTTTCTTAACATCCTCATCCTCACACCCCTGCGAGGTAGGACCTGCGGGGAGAGAGACTCAGATAGACTGCTTATGGAGGGCTCAAGGAAAATCGCGGCTCAGTCAGAACTGACGTTGGATCCCTCTTTCCCGCTCCAAATTCAGAGCCCTTGTTGGCCCTTCAAGGGAGGCAGGTCACGAAACAGACGCCCCAAGGATTCCAGTAAAGGGTTTACTTTACTGTTTCGGGGTGTCATAACAGCAGCTTGCAAACCTGTCCAAGTTTCCCCTTCCATACAACACAAAATCAAGGCGGGACTATTTTGACCCTGGCTTCAGTCTTCGGAATGTATAATCTAGTAATTCCCAACCTGGGCAACTTTAAGGCGTCTGGACTTCAACTTCCAGAATTCCCCAGCCAG